CCTACAATGACACTGTCGTCAGGAAACGGTTTATCTTCGCCTGCAGCTTTCTCCAAAATGGCACGCAGCTCCTCTTGTAGCTCCTTCTCCGCCAAAACTTTTTCTTCATATGGGTCATATCTATTCCGTTTTTTGGGTGGTTCATCCATTCTAGATTGCCCAGGTTGTTGGTTCATGCCTGTAATATAGACAAAAAAGCCCCTACAACTGGCAGCACGTGCAAATTATGAAAACTATGTAATATCATGTGTATATGACGTTTTTTAATGAACTAACAACATACAAAATAATGTACTTACTAACGAAATGCTTGTAAACACAGTTAAATTGATTTAAAGTTTAGTAGTACACCAACAAAAAATACGTCAGTCACGAACCAACACTGCGGCGCTACTGCTGAACATATGCCAAACGCGCTATCTAAGACTGAGCGGCGTAAACTCCGTACCGTTTAAATTACAGGCCTTGAAAACCATGCCTGCAACGAACGCACGCGGTGCGGTCTGGGCACATAGCAAAATTTTAAAAAACGCGCCTGGCGCGTTTTGGGCAGCGAATGTGTTAATGGAACTTGTTAGTTTTAATAATAGAAAAAAATGCTAAATATCATTTTTATGTAAAACTGTATGCTTTAAAATTTTTATTAAAAACTTTTATAGCACCTACCGTTTTTGTTTTTCGCCATTCGCCGGGACCTGAAAACAAAATTTTTTCACATATCGTTTTAAAATACTGGAAAGTGATTTGTATCAAAAATTCTTGTATTTCCATCAAAATTTGGATTCAAAGGTCTATTTGATTGATTGGACTAAAAAACGAAGTGATTAGTAGTAACTAACCGATATTTTTTGGAATTATTCTTTAAACTTATAAACATGACACTACATCGAGTAATTAGTTATTGAGACAGACAAATTCCTGTTTTTATATCAGAATTTTTCTTTAATTTTTATAGACTGTGCCGACATCGGGCTTAACTTTGGTCGAGACAACTCCTGGAAACTACGAATAGAATAAAGACTCACCTTTCTGAATTGTCTCATTGTCGTTGTGAAGTAGGCTTAGCAGCAACTAATACCTATTACTGATACATACTGATCTGGGAATATCAAGACGATAGAAGCCCAATAATCTGGCAAAGCACTCAACCGCACGAGTCTCATCCATAATGTCAGCCCCAGGAACTTCTTTATTTCTTGTGGATTAGTGGGTGCCCATTTCTTGATACCCAAATTTTTTTTTGGTTCCTTTGATACCAACGTTTGCGTTGCAAACCGATTTGTCTCTTCAACAATAAGATTTATGACATCATTGACCACCAAAAAATGCATCAAGGAGACATGTTGGGAGAGAGTTCTTTTTGCAGTCCACTTAGTCCAGTAAACTGAAATGTCTTTTGCCTTTCGACGTATTCACTCCATTTAGCTGTGTCTGAATTTCGTCCTGATCTTGATTTTGGTCGTTCTCGTCATCTAGAGCTTCATTAAGTGTCAAGTCTTGAAGAATGTCTTGCATATCTGGGGCTTCTTCATAATCCTCTTCATCTGACGATTTATGAAGTGGAACTGTAACAGGTCGCTTATATCGGAATATTGTAGGTGTATTGGAAGTGAAATCAAAGTCTTCTATTGAATCGTCGAAGTCAACATCAGTCTCGTCTTCCCCTTCCCTTTCATAACAAATAGTTTATTAAATAAACAATGAAAATTTAAATAAAAACTTTTTTTTAGATATCAAAGAGCAAGATAAATTATTATTTAAAAAAATGGTTTCGTATCAATAATTACAAGGGGTAAAAAAAATTGTTAATTAACAATTTTTTAAAAAATAATTTGCATCAAATTACTTTTCCAAAAAAAATTTAAATTATCTTATAAACAACGCATTTGTTTATAACAATTTTTTAAAAAATAGGCAATAAAAATTTTTAAAAATGATTTTCATGTGGCTCTTCTAAAAAACGGATCAATAGTAATATATAAAAATTGCTCTAAACTAGAAAAAAATCTCAGATTTGTTATTTAACAATTATCGCACTTCCAATGTTAATGTTCAAGTAGGAAAAAATCGCGATAAAATTTTTTTGATCGCCGATTATTGTTCATACATCTATCCAGTAGATGCTTGAATTTTTTCAATTCGTAATTTTCATATTTAATAAGTTTAAATAATATTTATTCACTAATGGTCCACAGCTTACGGAAACCAGAGTCTCCATTTTCGGTCGTATTTTCAACCCACTGAAAAAATGATAAATATTAGTCCTACAGTTTCAAATGATGGGACTTTTTTGGGGAAATTGCCTCTTCATTATGAATCTTTTTTCAAATTTGAAAAATGTCAAATAGTTTTTGAGATATTTTCAAAAAACCAAACTCATTTTTTTTTAGTTAATTGTTTATAACTTTTACAATTTTTGCAAGCGGCTCTTGAATTTTTTCACAAACCATCTACACGCTATTCCGAATCGAATGACATCTCGTTTATATTTTTCGGAGGCAAAGAAAACAAGTTTGACCCAAAAAGCACTTGTTAACTAGACTATTTGTTTACAAGATAATTTATCTTTAACAATAAACATTATTTCTTTCTATTTCTCTCTCTCTCGAAATTGATTGTCTTAAAAAAACCCGTGATTGTAAACAAATAATGACATTTCTATACAGTTCCCGAATCGTGTTAGCAACGACTCTTTTCATTCTTATCCAATCATTGTGTGTCATTCCCTGGAGGAAGTCAGAGGAACTACTTGCTTTCCAGGATCAAATACTAACGGAATTGAAGTAATAAACACAAAGGACAGCGGTGTATAGTTAATACAATACGAATATTATGCAAATAACTATTCAGAAACTTGTTTCGTTTGATTACAGAGATGTAAACTTTGGAACCAAATAGTATTGTGCGCAAATTATGAATAATTAAAATCACAGAAGAAAATGCTATTTTGCCTAGTGAAGTGGAGTTGTCGTTAAATATATGTATTACAATGTTGCTTAGGAAAGCTGTAGCGACAATTTTTTACCTTTTCTACTGGTAATTAAGTAAAAACTGAGTGTTAACTAAATATCAATGATTATTTCTTCTTAAATTAAAACTTTATTTATTGAGACAGAAATAGCAGCAGTAAAATAGTAACAATAAGAATGGCGCAAATAAATGAAGACGAATAAATTGTTTTTGAGGGCAGATAATATGATTTTAACACGAATTTGGAGGAATTTTAATGGAAAAAACAGGAAACGGTTTGCTGAATTAAATTTTTCTTTAAGAGCTAAAAAGTGGTATATAGGGTATTCCTAAACATCATGTCATAGTCCTTGGCACAATGTATGACTAAAAGTTTATAGGTATATTGGTTTTCTAAATTGCTTTGTTTCAAAGATACAGGGTGTTTTTCATTCATATCATAAACACTCATCGATCGATTTTGATGAAATTTGGCAGTTTCATTTGTTGTAGTAGGAGACTAATTTTGACCTAGTTATATCTGAATTGAGTGGAAATGCAAAAGGGGTTGGGTGCCACTTTTAACAAAATCGAGTTGTTTGCTGCAAAAGGTTGTATGTGTCAAGGCTAATGTCCTACAAAAAGCGCTAAGTGCCAGAGCTCTATTTAACAGGTGAAATAACTAAGCGCCAATAATTCCCGGCCTGACATAGTTGCAGATATTTTATCAGGATAAAAGTTTAACATTTTATAACTACAAATCTTAGTAGGCTGTGGTAACAAAATAAGCGACTTACGTCAAATAGTTTTTAATTGTCAGCATTTTGAACTAAAGTATCTCCGAAAATGTATCAGGTGACGAAAATTGAGTACAGAGCGGTTATTAAATTTTTAACAAAAGAAGGGCTTACACCTAAAATTATTAAAGAAAAACTCGATGGCGTATATGGCCAAAGTTCCCCTTCCTATTCGGTAGTGAAGGAATGGGAAAAACGTTTTCGCATGGGTCAGGAATCCCTTGAAGATGACGAAAGACCTGGACGGCCAGTGGAGGTGATAACGGAGGACACAGTGGCCCTTGTGGAAAACCTGGTGCTAAGTGACCGACGTTTGAAGGTCAAGGAAATGGCAGAAATGACCAAGCTTTCTGATACAACTGTTCGCCGAATCCTCCATGATCATTTGGGTATGCATAAGGTTAGTGCAAGATGGGTGCCCAAACACCTTTCGGCGATTCAGAAGCAACGTCGTGTCGAGTTCGCTCGATCGTTTTTGGAACTATGTGGAGATGATCCGAACCCCGTGTTGGAAACAATAGTCACTGGAGATAAAAATATGGTTCTTTATTATGATCCTCTGTCGAAAAGGGAATCAATGAAGTGGCGCCGTAAGGGTGAAGCCCCCCCACGAAAATTTAGAGTCTGCCAATCAACGAAAAAGGTGATGGCTACGATCTTTTGGGATTGTGAAGGAATCCTTCTCATTGATTTTAAAGAGAGAAATACCACCGTTAATGGCACATATTATGGCGCATTACTTCATAAGTTGCGGGAATGATATTCGGGAAAAACGTCGACGAAAATTAACCAGAGGCGTGCGGTTGTTACACGACAATGCGCCCGTTCATACTGCTGGCGTTGCACAAGCTGCCATCCTAGAATGCGGGTTTCAAAATATAGATCACCCTTCTTATAGTCCAGATATGGCTCCCAGCGATTATTATTTATTTAGTTATTTGAAAAAGGACCTTTGGGGGCGACGTTTTCGGGACGATTTTGAGTTACAAGAAGCTGTTTTGGCCCATTTTGAGGATAAACCGAAAGAATATTTTTTTAAAGGGATTGAATTGTTAATTAAACGTTGTAAGAAGTGCATTGAGGTCAAGGGAGATTACATTGAAAAATAATAAAAACTTGTTGTTGTACTTTGCCTCCTTCATTGTCAGGCCGGGAATTATTGGCGCTTACCTATGTCGCTAGGGTATGTCAACCGGTATTGGATCTTGAAAGGGGCTATGTGACAAAATTGAAAATCTGACAGTTTGTGTTTAACGGAACATGATGTCCTCCGGAATTAGTGAAAATGCTTCGAGAAAACGTAGGGCTAGCGGTACTGGCTCTTATAGACAGGAAAATAAAATTCTCAAGTGGCAAGGGAAGCAATATAGAACTTTTACTAACAAACTAGTTCCTGCCAAACCCCAACCAGAAAGAAAGGTAAGTTGACATAACCTATTTTATTAGTAAACATAAATATGAAATATTTTAATATTGTAGGTGTCCTGTAAATGTTCGTACAAGTGTAGAAGCCTTACTTACAAACGGAAATTAGAATTATATAAACAGTTCTATGAAACCGACTCTGCTAAACAGGGTACTTACCTTACGGGTCTGATAAACATAGGGAATATTAAAAAAAGAAGAAGACGTGGGACATATGAGCTTGCAGAAAGTAGTCAGTGTCAGTGCAGCATATTTTATACTGTGCCTGATGGTTCAGGAAACTTAGTGCTGGTTTGTAAACGCACATTTTTGAATATATTTGCCATAATCTCTAAAAAGATAGAAATCTTGGTGAAGAAGAAGAAGAAGATGGGTGAAACATATTGAGTTGACAAGAGAAAAGGTAAAAGTCAATCAAAGTTCATAGAAAATGACCGCCAACAAGTCAGAGATCACATAATGTCTATACCTAGGGACGTAAGTCATTATTTCAGGCAAAAATCTGAAAAAGAGTAGTTGAGCCCTGATCTGAACATCCATGGATTGTATAAGGATTTTCTTGAAAAATTTTCAGATTCACGTGTCACATACAAATATTATCGGCTTGTTTTTTGAAAGATTTCCCGAACTTGTCATTTCACCGCCCTAGAGTTGATACTTGCAGAACTTGTGGTAAATTAAATTGCGAAGTGCAAGCTCACATTTCAAGTAGTAAGACAGCAAAAACTCAGCTTGAACTACACCATAGGAAAGTTGAGAAATCTCTAGCTGCATTAAAAGAAGATATTGTTGTCTCACAAAAACAAGGAAGTATACTTTCTTGCATAACGATGGATCTGCAACAAGTTCTGTTTGTGCCTACGTTAACCCATGTTCTACCATAGCCAGTTATCTTGTTATAATTTCGGCATTCATCTAAGTCACAGCAACTCAGCATTCATGTGCATGTGGAACGAATCTGTAGGAGGAAGAGTTGGTAACGAAATTGTTTCCTGTTTGTTGAGAGTGTTGAATATGGGAATCACTGACATAAAGCATATTACGATCTGGTGTGACAACTGTGCTGGCCAAAATAAAAACAGAATGGTCCTGTTCGTTATAATCTTTTTGGTATCTACTGGCGTATTTGAAAGCATTGAACAGAAATTTATGGTAAGGGGACATAGCTTTATGGCCTGCGATCGTGATTTTGCACTCATAGAAAAAAGAAAGAGAACAATGAAGAGTTTTGTACCGAATGATCTGCATGATGTTGTCCGTTCAGCGAAATATAGTCCTCCATTTTCGGTTGTAAATATGGAAAAATTGGGATTTTTTTGATATCCAGGCAGCAGCTGACAGCCTTATCAACACCAAAAGCCTTAACATCAGCAAGACAGTTCATGTAAGAATAGATTCTAAGAAACTTGGAAAAGTGCTAACGAAAGAGACCTTTAGCGATTTTGAGCAGTGGAAGGAGACCTGTATTTTGAAAAAGGGTAAAAAGGCGTCAGATTTGAAGAACACGTTAATAAAGTTGCTGCCACCTGAAAATAAAATCACAGTCAATAAGAAAAAATCCCTCACCTTAATGATAAACTTTCTAAAGAAGACTTCTACAGGAAGATTTTGAACATTGAATAAAATAAATAAGTGCTTAAATAAACACAATGTTAATATTATATGGCTTTGTTTCATACTTTATTTTTTGTATTTTTTGAGAGAATATAAGTTTCTTTTTTCAAAATAACACGTTTTTTATTTTAACGAGGTTAAATAAACATAACATTAATGTTATATGGCTTTCTCTAATATTTTATTTTCCGGCACTTGGACCCTTTCTAAATTTTCGAGAGAAAAAAATTTTTTTTGTTTTTAATTTTCTTATTATTTTATTTTAGCGACTGTTATCATATTACGCGTCTTTCAGTGCTTCTATAAGATAATGCTTACTTTGTTGCAAGCAGTATTCACAAGAATAAACATGTTTCTTTAAATATAAACATTTTGTCATTTTGGCACTTAGCCCCTTTTGCGTTTCCACTCTTCAATTATTCATTCCAGAGGCGTCCCCAAAGGCAACTTCATTGATATTTTTGAAAAAAAAAGTTTTCAAGTTATTGCTGACATTGTAGATGTGACAAACGAAGAAAATGCACAAATGAAAGGTTTTGTGCATACACATATTTCCAAAAATGATGAGGCAAGTCAGATACCAGTTGTTGATAAAGCTGGCCCTCATGAGAATGGGAGAATAGAAGAGAATGCAACATTATCTCCTAATGCAGTTCCTTTATATTCTATTCCAATATTGTCCCCTAAAGTAGTTAGACCCTAACAAAAAAAAAAAAAAAATCTTGGGTTGTCCTCATCGAAGAAAGTAAAAGAGAAGGGAAAATTAAGAGTCTTTACTTATACACCAGAGAAGGATAGATTAAAGACCAGTGGTGACTCGTGGTTATTTAAAACGAGTGTTCACTTTTTCCAATAATTTTATCATATGTAAGTTCGGATCAAAACTTTGTACAAGAGTCAATACTACACAGACACAAACTAGAATAAAGATATATAATGCCTGGTATTTTAAATAACACTCTTCGCAGTTTAAAAGACCCCCTTAACCCCCATTTTTAAGCAGATTGTTTTCACAATCAATAGGCCTCATCTCCTTATAGACCTTGATTTTTACTAAAAATTTCATGTTGATATCGCTTTTCATTTTTGATTTTTTTATAATTTCAACCCCCCCTTAAATCCCCCATATTTATTCAGATTTTTTCGATGAGCATTAAATTATACAAACGTTCTTTGCTCAAAAGAGAAATAATAATATATTAACAACAGTAATAAAATTGGATGTATTTTCTCAATCCACTTATCAACATTTAAATTTATAAATGGTAGAAACAATATAATTGAAAATACTCAATTCATTTTTAAACAGTTAAATTTATAGTCAATAGAAATGGTGTAATTGAGAATATCCTCTCAATTCAGTCGCCAGTAGCTGGAGAAATATACAGTGAGCATCTTAAGTCTTACCCCCCTAACTAACTCGTTACTGGGGTCTTGTTAGGAAAATCGCCGAGACAGGTCGATTTTTAATTTCTACAATGTACATTTTTGCATGATTAGTTAACCCTTAATTTCATCCCTTACTGGAGGGTAAAAACCCTTTTGAAAAATTTAAATGGCATGGGGTGGTGAGCGATAGCTCATTTGAAAGGGGGTTTTATTCTCTATTCAACCGTGCAAAAAAAATTTGAAATTTGCATCATTACATGTTAATTTATTAATGTTTAAAAATAACAAAACCTCACAAAATAGGAAAGCAACTAGACTAACAGTGACCTTCTAATGGCAAAAAGTCTTACTTCACGTCTGAACCAAAACCGAAGTCATACAGGGCCTAATTTTAATTCTAAGGATGAGTGCGCTACGTTAATTTCCGTTATTCTGAAACAACAATTAGTCGAGAATTAATGAAGCAAATTTCAAATTTTTTTACACGGTTGAATATAGAATAAAACCCTCTTTCAAATGAGCTATCACTCACCACCCCATGCCATTAAAATTTTTCGAAAGGGTTGCTCCCCTCCAGTAAGGGATGAAATTAAGGGTAAATTATTCATACAAAAATGTACATTGTAGAAATCAAAAAACGACCTGTCTCGGCGATTTTCCTAACAAGACTCTAGTAACGAGTTAGATATGGTGCTCACTGTATGAATAATAAAATAAAAAGGTTTATTTATGCCTATCCGAGACGTCTTGTTAAAATTAAGGTATATTGTTTTGAGTACTCAAAATAATATTTACCAACTGGTTGTAAATAAAAGAAACCAAAAGTATTCTTAAAACTAAATCATCCAGAAAATAGAGAAACACCCGTTTCAAAATATAAGTAAAGTGTCTAAATAGACATTGCGAACATATTGTTAAAATTAAAGAAAAAATAATAAATATTAAAGTATAATCCTAGGTCTGACAGCGGCACTAGAAAGAGCCCTCTGTTAAGCTACACACTGCACACCGAAGATCATCATGTTACAGGACTGCTTGGGGCACGGGACGATCGTAAGAACGTTTGAAATAAAAAGGAAATATCTGCTTCGCAGGGAAAATAAAACGGAGCAGCATATTGGCAAGACAGAATTCCATTCTGTAGCTTTCTGAGAATAACCACTCACAGTTGATGTGGCTCTTTTGTTCATCAACGGGAAGAACCCTATATATATATTAAAATATGGGTGTTTTGCCAGACAAAGAAAATTCAGGAGCAGCAAAGGAAATGACTTACCTCTTTTGAGGGTTTTCTCTGCTACTGGGATCCAGCAACACGTGAAAGAAAGTATCTCTCGGCGTCTCACTTGCCTCAGATTTTGGTCAAAAACCAGGTTCATCCAAAACTAAAGTAACATAAACATTGGCACGGGGGCCCTTAAACAAAACAAAAAGCTCTTACTCTATTCCTATGGTTATTTACAAAATTATGCTTTGCCTGTAGACAGATCAAACGAACGTGTGAATTGTATTAGATTGGCAACACTGGTTTGGCGCCAATTAATATGTTCTTTGACAGTTTGAAGGATATGTTGGCGTGTTGTTTTCTCTTTTGAGCTATACGCATTCGGCATATCGTCTCACTCGTGTTAGGTTCACTCATCATAATGCGCCACAGACACAGTATACTTAGGTATACTGTGACATAGAGACGCGATCAGCCAGAGGACAATGATGTACAAAAAAATATAGGATAACACGTATGAAAATAAAAATATTAAAATTAAATTTATATTTTTATGTAATTTATGTAATATTGAAATAATGTGTTTTTATAAAATTTAACTGGGTGTTCGCTGCACAAATGAACCAATGGAGAAACCGCCCCTGTTAAAGACATTGTACGAAGAAAAAAAAATAAGAAAACAACAAGTTAAAATGATGAAGCAGAAAGCAAAAGAGTTGAAAATGGCAAGAAATGTATTTTGTTTAAATGAAACTAAACAACTTAAGAATAAAAGACGACGTAGTTTACAATCTCATTCCGATACCAGTCGCAATAAATCTGTGACATTGAGTGATGATGATGACATGGATTTTGTATTTGCTCCAGAAGATTGGGATATGATTTTTGATGGTCTCAATCCTGAAAATATAAATATTGAAGATTTCCCTACTCATTAAATTTGCCAAGAAAAAAACTGATCTTTGCTACGTGGCCAAAGTGATGTCTATATATAACATAACCGATTATCAAGTGTCATACTTTAAGAAAAAAACAGGATATTGTACTGTAATGAAGTCATTTTTCATTACCATTTTTTTTATTTAATTGCCGAATTAGTATTCTTAATAATGATTTTAAATCTAACTTTCATTAGAATCCAGCATATAAATTTAATAAA